TGTTGAATTAACTTCTCAATACGCACTATTTATCCATCCGTCCATCAATTTAACCATCTAACTAGGCAAATATTCCAATATCTCATCATCTCAATGCTGTTTGAATTGCGTAGTGAACGCGATTAATGCGAGTCTTATTATCATTGTCAAGTGTGCGTCACCACTGTGATCACTTTCATTGAAATGTTATCACATCTTACTGTTCATTTTGAAACAATGATCGAATGTCACTCATTTTCAAATGAGCAGCCGTCATTTCACCATAATCATCATCAACCCCTTCTCTCCCTCTTCTGAGTTATTCCCAAATGAATTTCGCAGAAGTAATCACCTTCATCCATCCATACATATAAAAACGAACGACCATCACTCGAACATAACGAACAAACGCCATCTGTCATCATCCACTCATTTTTACCCACTTACCTTACCCACCATTATCATCAAGCAATATGTCTGTAAATAAATGCAACCAAAATGTTTCATTGATAATTGTGAGCAGAACAGAATTCGATCAGAAAGGAAGAGGAAATGGGTGAGTTTACTTGCAGGTCTTCGTGAACAAGGTTTGTACAGGAATTGTGGTGTGACGTCAAAAGTACAGAAATTGATGCAAGTCGGATTGGACAAACGACGTGCAACTTCGAACGAGAAACTGAATTTCATCGATGACGTCGAATGGGAAACGAAAACCGTTTCAAGTGCCATCAAAACTTTTCTTAGGTAAGTGCATGTTTGACGAACATTCCTTCTATGTGCATATGATTATTATTATCCGATGAATTATAATCGTTATTCATAGATAATTGAACAGACGAATGTGATCATTATCGAATAAAGATTCATCACAAAAGGAATTTCGGAAGGGATAGTCGTATGTTGTAGTAATGTTTAGATGTTTGGTGATCAACATGAATGTTCAGCGCATTGATGCATTAATTAGAAGTAGGTGCTTGTTATGAGGTGATTGTTGAATTTAACGAGTGTAAATTGAATTTAAGGAATCTTCCTGAACCGCTAATGACGTTCGACTTGCATAGTCAATTCATAAATGCAGCCAAAATGGATTCTGCAACACGGGTATCGCATATTCATTATTACGTTCATCAGCTTCCCAAAACGCATTTCGATATGTTGAGGCTTGTCATCGAACATCTTAAGAAGTTTGTATTTATAATTATTGCTGTGTTCATTTCTATCGTTACAATTTTCAAGTTGTTTCATCTGATGAAATATTACATGTGACTTCCGCTTAGGCTCAGTGCTCTCGGTTCTAACTATGCTCAATCTTTTTAGTTTTCTGAGAAATTCGTCGCCTTCTAATTTTGAAAGAATTCCATTTCAAGAACGTCCATCTATGAAAATAAACTAATGGCTTGATGAAAGGCACGAATGAATAACAGTAATAATGAGCAGAAAACGAAAACAATTCAGAGTGGCAGATCGATCGAGTGATAATTTGATGACAGTTGGTAACTTGGGTGTTTGTTTCGGACCAACTCTGTTGAGACCGAAAGAGGAGACGATGGCCGCAATAATGGATATTAAATTTTGTAATGTTGTCGTTGAAGTGCTCATTGCGAACTGTGATCTCGTTAGTTTTTGTGCTCGAATCGCTTCATTTTCATTCATTTCACGCTTCATCGTTGTAACTTCTAATTTTAATGCAGTTATAGTTAAACGAACGTGTGCAACTCATAACGATTCTACTAATTCCCCTGAAAATTAGCGAGTTTTCAATTGAATCTGTAAAAGTTGTGAAAATAATGTGAATTTAAGATCTTCAATACGCAACCATCGAATATAGATGGTGTTCCATGCCCACCAAAACCAGTGCATCGGAATGATTCAAATGTGGTTGCTGAAGGCATCAGTAGTTCGCCTTCAGCTGTTCCATTTCTAGACGTTGTTCCATCTTCGTTTCATAAACAGTCGTCTGTATCGCCATCCGCTGACAAACGGTTCGATAGTTTTGTTCGATCACATCTTCATTCATTTCACGATAAATTTCGTTTGTTATTCGTTGAATGAAAAGTTTGTATGATATTGATTGAGGACTTTATATAAATGTTTGGTTGGTGAGTAAATTTGATTAATTTACGATTGATTATTCATTGTCGTCTCATCATTCCTAACTGAAGTTTCAGACTGCATGCAGACGGCTCATCGTCGTCATCGTTACCGGGCGTAGTGGCTGGTGGAAATCGACCACGTTCTATTGGTAATTCGACGGCGAGACAGCGACCGCCACATATCTACGATAGGGTGGCCACATCTTTTATTGACAGTCAATCCGGTTAGAAGAACCTCTTCCTCATTCTTCTGAACTTTTCAGATCCTTGCGCGTCCAAATCTCACATCATTTCGTCATTCCATTTCATTTTCTGCATCTTCTTTGTTAAAGTTCAAGCAAGCTTACCGCAAAAAACTTCAGGATAGTGCATTGTCCTACGCGTTTTTGATGTGCCTATCAATTCTTTGAAAATCTGTTTCGTGGCACTCCTTCACTAGAAATCATTAAGAACTTCTCGCGATTTCACAACCCGAAGATTGCAACTGAAATTTCTCAGATTCAGATGCGAATTTGAATTCGCCACCGCGACTGTTACCGTCCTACGGTAAAGCAAGCACATCGGCTGGAGCCAGTCCAGTCTCGCCGACTGCCTCCACGGTGGCATTATCAATAAGTCAGTCAGCCGTTGCATCTTCGACCGTGCCGAAATCGCATCATGCCATGAAGAGGGCAACCAATTCTCAAGTTAGTGCTGGTGGCAATGGACGACAACGAAGTGCGCAGTATTATCATCATCAACAACAAGACACTCGTACGGAGAGTTCAGATTCGTTGAACTCAGTAGCAAGTGGCTGTTCTGTAGACGCCTCTCCTCCACTCTCCTCAACACGACATCAACTTTCGATGGATACCGGCTCAGCATTATTATCGTCGCGTGAACCACGTGCAGCTGGTGGTAGCGCTTCATCAGCTTCAAAAGGTTCTTGTTCTAGCCACTTTTATCGCATTGAATTCGTTGAGTGATGATTGTTCGATGGACTGACAGCATTATGTACATCACAGCGATTATCAGTCGTCAACTTCGAGCAATAGTTCATTAAGCATATATCGCAATCATGAAGCTTTCATTAGTTGTGACCGATCGATTTCACGGCATTTTTCGGGTCACTTCCGATTCTCTTCATTAGGCTTTTAAATGACTCGTTTTGAGACGTTTTGTAAATGACAGTCTTGTGAATCGTCCGTAAATGATTGCTCAATAACAATACTTTGCAGCAAAGATGAGCGCATCCTATGCACCAGCGTATAATCCATTCGCGTGTGAATCGTAAGTTTTTACTATTTTAGCATTATCGTCGATTGATTCATTCCTATATGCAGTGTTGTCTTTATGCTGCTAATGAATTAAGGTGGAATGAGAGTGCGAGGGTGAATAATGATTACATGAAGTTGATTCGATCACTTAGTGTTGATGCTATGGATGATTTCGCAATGTTTCTCAGTGATTTCATCGTTCAGCTCGATTATAGTTCTATTCTCCTGCGCTCTTGTTGGTGACCCATCATTCCAGTATACGCAAAGTGTTCAATAGCTGGAGGAAGCTAACCTATTATTGTAACAGTTCAATTCTGAAATCATTTATACGATATGCTCATTTCCAGCTTTTCATGTTTTAAGTAACGATAGGTAGTCTCTTTAGATGTGACCATTCTTGCTTGAAAAATCCAGGATCATGCCGTGGAAATTTGTTAATTCTTTAGTGTTTTGATCACACTCTTAAATATTCTGTTTGTATTGCTGATTTGATTTAATGAATAGGTACTTTGAAGATCCAACTATTCAATGGATACCAGTATACTTTTGATTTCTCATTATAAGCGTATATCAGTCAGCTCGTACCATTTAAAAACAGTCATCACTTTAGTAATGCGGTCTATTTTGCGTTTATCAGTGTTGATCATATAGTTGCATGGCATGCGTATTGTTGATTAAGTGCATCCAAACGCACATTATATCATCAGGACTGGAGCAGTTCATCGTGACTGAAGCATTCATAAAATAAAATGTCTGTTATATCATATTTAGCATAATTATAAGTTGATAAGCTTTCAGCATCAATGATAGGTTAAATAAACGACATTCAGGCAGAAATCGTTTAATGTCTCAATCGTAAGTGATTATAAAGTTAATAAGCTTAACAGATAGTTTTATCTGTGTCGCTGTTTTGTAGTCGTTTTGGTAATTGGTTTCTTTTCATGTCTATTATAATTTGCAGTAATCTGTTTCGCCTTTGTGGTTTGTTGATTTATCTCGTTAAGATGCATTTGTCATCATCGCTTCAACGACAGTTCTTCAATGTGAACAATGCAAGCTTGATAAATTATCAGCTCTCCAAGTTTGTGTTTTGTCTTGCTTTGAGTTGAGCAATGCGGATCGTGATTCACCGATTTGCTGGTCATAACCATAATTGGTGATGTCATGATGGGAAATTAAGATTTTCTCAAAAATTGGATAGAAGATAGAGTGTAGAATAATGTCTTCTTAAGAAGATGTATGGCACGGAACAACCGTACGTATCATTGCCAGTCGACTCGACATAGGAATTGCAGAATGTTCAGTCCGTATTGTTAGAATGAGTTTTGATCTTCGAATAGACAAGAGCACTGTGAAGGATGCACGTTGCATGTGAAAAGCATGCTTGATCAGAAATTGAGACTGTATTGTGTTCGATTAAGCTGTTTATTGTTGTGTTTTATTGACCTGCTTAAATCTCTGGTTGTTTGATGTGTTACCGTTGTGGCGTTGTATCGTTGCTGTGTGATGATCATCACGTTCATGATTGCTTCATTCGAACTGCATGAGCTGTGTCATTTGTCATTAAATGCTTTTAAAGGGCTAGTATTTTTTTCACTTCGCACTGCATTCCTTTCACTTCCTTCGATCAGCTGGCTTGATTCACCTGTTCTCCAATTCCGTTCTCCAATCTCAGAACGGATTGTCAACTTCCACTAAGGAATAATTTTTCTGCTTTTGGGCTTTTTGCCTCTATATATAACGCATAATGCATATGCAGCCACCCAGATATGTTTTTATGGAATTTTTATAGTTTGTTATGCAACTTTCAGCGTTATTGTTGACAGCAGTAGCAATAATAAAAATAAGAATAAAAACCTCGGGTATTTGGGGATATCATCCGCCTTCACAGCAACTCCTAACGAGCGTTTGAACGGTGGATCGTCATCGAAGAAATATTCGCGAAATGCGAGTAGCCCAGCAACAACTGGAACGGCAGTTTCACCCCATCGTTCTCTGAATTCCACCAATTCCACTAATCATGCCTGTTCCCAAAATGTGATGATGGCGCTCAGTGAACTGCGGATATCACCTCTGTTCTCGTATTCTCATCCTTTGAGATCACTGCAACCGAGGTTGGTACTCTTATGTATCGCATTTCTTATTATGTCTGTTCTACGGAAGCTTGAAAAAATGATATGTTTTGGTTGGGATTGTCCGGTAGTGATTCAAGAAAGTATTGAGATTGGGTTTATTTAGTGACGGGATTATGAAGGTGTGGAATTTTTAATTGCGACGAAAGGCGTAGGAACCTTGTTTGGCTATTTCCAAAAACTTATTGTTCATTACTTAGTTTTATAAATTCATCATTTATTGAATTTTTATTTTTCGCATTTTTGTGACAAAGTGTTCGATTTGAAGAGGACTTCATTAGCTTATTATATGCTTTTGTTTGATTATGATTCATCATTGGTGATGAAATGAAATAAGAGTTTTGTGACTTCGATTGTTTACGAAACAAATTTATTTATTTGTGCTGTTACTATTAATATTTCCACCCCTACTGCACTGTATTATATTCAGTGCGCTATTGTCGTTTATTATGTCAAAGAAATTGTTTTATAATTTCTTTTCGAAGCAACAGCATGTTCTCACTGTGGTCATCTCCTATTGTTTGCCGTATTTTCTAACTATAACATTGTTTATTTTCCTGAACATTGCATGATTCGTATCTGCTGAAAATGTGCATGCTATCTTTACTTTCAACTTCGTGAACCTCCCTCCTTCAGATGCATTTTCTTCATAGTGAATTAATTTCTTCATCGCAACCTCTCTTCCTTGAAACCGTGTGGATTTCCCTCTTTTCAGTGAATATTCCGAAGAATAATCCATCGGCCAGTGATTTCCAACTACTCTTTTAACACTTCTTCTTCTTAACCTCCTGAATGAGAATATTGATAATTGTTTTGTGTATTCAGTCAGCAGTTATGTCATTTGTTCTCAAACTTTGTGGTGTCGTCAACGTTACATGAATAATTCATCATCGAACTAGGTGAGATTATGTCTTGGTGATAACGAGATAAAAGAGCCGCTTGCTATAATCATTTCGATTTTAATGCTAGCAAAAAGAATATTGTCGCACGCGATGCGATCATGTCACAATATTCCTACATCTTTGTTCTTCTCTCATCAGAATATTATGGATCAGTTGAATTCTGTTTCTGGTATTCATATGAGAAATATCAGCGGATCGTTTCAAATGTTGAGTTGCATTTATCGTCATATAGGAACATATCATATCGTCTTGATGTGTAGTGAAGTAAAAGACGCGTTTGAATGAATCAGAGTTCGATTGGGTGTGGCACTGACAATGAGATTAATCATTATCTTTGAAGGAAGTTATTTGTCTGTGTTCTATACTATTTATGCCTACAAAAGGCTAGTTATGAGCTGAAAATGATTTCGAAATTAGTATCATTTTTAATTTGAATGAAAACGAAAGCGTATTGGTGTTCATTTGTCCATATGCTTTTTCTTATGCACTTTTATTAGGATAGTTATGGTGAAATTGTTGCGAGTGCTTATTTCTGCGGTTTTGGTGGAACCAGTCATGGGAGAATATACTATTATCGGTGTTGAATGCAATGCAATTGTTATTTGATTTGTGATACATATATCGTTTGCATTTTGAATGATTGAAATTTCAGTCGTCGTGTTAAAACACTATATTCATGCACAGCTGGTCACGATACAGAGCTATCGTTTAAGCCAGGCCAGATTATTACGAATGGTTGGTGGTTTCATTGGTTTTTTGAGGAAATCATCTAGGAAGTATTCAAATTCTTTTGCTATAATTTTAACAATGAACCGTTTCTGTTGAGAGGAGCTTTGTGGTACCTTTGAATGTTTTTTTTGCGTTCCTTGTGTTCCAAATGAGAACTGCATATCCATTCAGTTCGATAAAAGTTTGTGAATGCCTGACTGAGCTGCTGTCATTCTGATGTTTCAGTGGTTCGTTGTCAATATTCTGAATATGTTTGCAGTTGTTTGCTCAACAAATTTCTATGAATGAATAGCTGAATGAATAAATTGTTTTCAGTGTACGAATCCAAAGAAGAGGGTTGGCTGGTGGGCACTCTGAATGGCAAAACGGGTCTGATACCGGCCAACTACGTCGAGCCATTACCCTGAATTGTTCAGTTTTAGAAGTATTCAGAACTGTCTGTTTATCCATTCAGAACGGTTGTAATCATTACGTATTATTTTTATTTCCTAACTGATCAGTTGATAAATATGCTTCAATATAATCATCTCTCCAGTACGCTTTGCATTTTCATACCCTCTTGTTGGGATAATCGGTTTGTTCATGCTGATTACCCATTTACACATCTTAAAAATCCACCTTCCCCTTCAATTTGTTGTCCTTTCGTGTTTATCTCGTGTTACCTTCAGCAGCAACACGTTTAAAATTTGCTCTGTTCCTCGTATATGATGGAGATTTGAATTTCCAGACTAAATCAGTTTGATTTCTTCAAATTTTCAAACTGAATTGAGAATTGTTGCTGGCGGCACGAGGCTTCTATTTTGGCTAACAAGAATAATGCTGAAATAGAAAACATTTTGGTTATTGCATCTTAATGTTTTACTTTGTGCAAAAGACTTTGTGTTTGCCGCTAAATCAACATTGTTCTTGTCCGTTATTATGCTACGTTGTTTTTATGAAAGATTGATTGTTTTAATCTATTTGAAACACGATATGAAATTTGTTGTGATATGAAATGTTGACGGAATATGCTTATTTCTTTGATTCGTTCGGCTGTATTCATTAATTATTTCTGTATAAGTGACTGTTTATACTGAAGTATTATTACTATTATTATCAATGCTGTATCGGTAATATTCAAGTCAACGCTCATTCTTTAAATGGTTCTTATTTCGTTTTCATTGGCTTTATTTTGATGAACCGAAGCGTATTTGTTCATGTTGATTATTTCAAAGTCATTCTATTCATTCACTCAGTCATTCATTCATCCGTAATTGTTTCATTTTAATTTGAATTTTCTGTATCTCATCAGTCTCATCAACGTTCTTATTTTCCATATTTCGTCAACATCAGTATTTGCTAGAAATGCATGTACTAATTCATCTGTGAAATATGAATATATGTTAGTGAAACACATTCTCGGCATTATTGGATTCATACTTTCGTTTGTTTTATTTTTTGTTTTTTTCATTTCCAATTATGATCCACTTCCTGCTATTGAGTTTGTTTATGTTGGTTATGAATGATAATAGTTGTTGAAAGTGATCAAAGAGACAAGTTTCGCGAGGAAGTTCGTTCATTGATGAAGGACTCGATTTTTGGTTTGAAACATATCGTGGATATCACTTATACTCGCAATCGAATGAATGACGTCGAAGATCTGAACGTCTTTTCGGTGTTATTTTGAACAGAACTGAACTTGTTAAAAACCGAAACATTTGTTTCTTCATTGAAGTATTTATGCACAACAAACCCTGTGTTCATTTGCTGAATATACGTTGTATTGTTCTTTTCAGTGTTTTTGAAAATAAATTCCTGACAGCTCTAGTGTCACAATTAGAGTTTGCAAAATCCCGACGATTTTTCAATCCCGAGATTGGGATTTAATCCCGGAGTCGAACAGTTATTGAAGTATCGATGCGGGGCATGTTGAAACACATTTTATCGAACCGATATGTTCCTTATTAATTCGAAAGGAGCTAATTTAACAAATTATTGAACAAATGCAAGGAACAAAGTATTCAAATTCAAACCAATATTTCATATAATGATGCCAGTGATCATGCCGCAAGGGCATACTGC